TCATTATCCATCTCGGGATCCGCCAATGCGTTGCCTAGCCCTCTGTTTCTACTCTCCCCAGTTTGCGGCTCTGAATTTGTCATAATCGCGAAGCCTCTCGACTGGCCCGGTGTGTTTACCTCTTTCCTTATCGTTCTCACCACATCAAATTTGTCCATGAATCCAGTCTCTCTTTCGACGTATGCCTCATTCTCCTGGGTCGAACTATTGAGGCTGACATGAGACCCAAAGTCCACTTGCTCTTCTTCGTCGTCCTTCTCCTGGGATTTACCTTCAATTCTTGTGCCCACTCCCATGGTGAATGGAAAGATGTTGCCTAAGGCATTCCTCATTCTTTTGAGAACGATGATGACGTTGTTTGTTTCTCTGTCCCGCTTGCCATCATAGTGTTGTCTGTTGGAGACTTTCTAGTTGCCACAATTTCAGTTGAGATGTCGGACAGTTCCGACATCTCTTCTTGATCCAGCGTCCCGGTGGAAGTGGCAAAATCATGGCCTTGTTCTACCGGAGTAGATTCACTCGCCAGCCTTCTGCCTCTCCCTTCCAGCCCATGTTCTTCCTGGTTGTCATTCATGGCCTGGTCTGTATTGACCTCCACTTCCAACATTTCTTTTCTCTCTTCTGAGGTCTTCTGATTCCTCGTTTCAACCATTCTGCCTGAAACCGTCTCCCCTTTGTCGGTCCGGGCTCGTTTGATCCAATCCACAAAAGGATCGGTCATTGTTTTTCTTTGCTTTTTAGGTATGAATTTCCTAGAGCTATTACCTCGTTTAGGTATCCTTGACTTGTCTAGACTCATTCTCAATTTGTCACTTCTTAATGCCTATACACTTAATTCGATTGCTAGTGACCTTATAGTTTGACTACCAATAATAATGACACAACACAATAAACTTCACAAGATTCTATAAAATCGTGACCACGAATCCCTGTATGTAATCAGAGTACAGTTTGTATATAATTTTTTCACACTAACCGATTATCGGTCGTAAGATTTGAGAACTAGCACAATATGATGTTATCAGTCAATTTAAAAGATAGTGTACTCACCACCCAATCAAGCACAGTTTATGTATATTTAAAATCAAAACAAAAAGAAAAATTATAATATATAATGACAGAGTATGAATACCTTTATGAAAAAAAAAACGTTTGTGTATTGTACTTTTAGTCGGTCGCAGTACAATAGTCGAAACAGACAAAACTTTCAAGGCAGTAATTTTCTCAAGTGGGCGTCTATTGCACCCACCGAGTACTGTGTTACCTATCTGCCTTCGGATTGTCCAAGCTAGACCTACTACAATCCTCAGGGCAGTCACTTTTCACAAAAACGTATTGGGTTTCAATCCACACCAATGAATTACGCTCTTTTTAGTTTAGACTTAGTGTCGCGAATATCCGAGTTCAGACCTGGTTTGTCTTAGTCTGGTTTTTATTGAAAGGCAAGTTACCAGTGCAGTCACTGATTCCTAGCCTGTCTGCTAATAACCTAATACCTCTCACTTTAGTCTTTCTGCCGTTTACCTAAGTCCTTTAATAAAATAATAACCCTCCGGATTGGAAAAAAATAGGACCCTTCCGGATTAACAAAATTTAGACCCCTCCGGATTGGGACCCCTCTGAGTTAGTAAATATAAGACCCCTCCGGATTGGGACACCTCCGAATTAGCAAATATAAGACCCCTCCGGATTCGGATCCCTCCTAATTCGGAAAAAAAATCTTTTGACCCCTCCGGATTGCGAGCCCTCTGGTTTGTAATAGTAGCTTTTAGGAGACTTCCTTCTTTCAACCTATACCCCTCCGGATACGTTCTCCGATGCAATTTGGCTTTTTCAATTAACTAGGAAGGGTATGTAATGCTTTCCTAGACCCTTCCGGATGGAAGTTAAGCCTCTTATTTGACAATTCACGCTAACGGTGAAGGGTCTTATCGCTAGCCTAACTTCGGTGCGATTAAGGTTTTCCCGTGCCTTTAGCCTTCCCTTTTCGTCTAGAAGAGCCTAAAATTACTTTATTCAACCGCTATTACCTTTTGGTAGGGGTGTAGGGGCTTTTCTAAAAAAAAATTATATAAAACGTGAAGGGTCTACCCTCCCAAATTGGTGAACTTGCTAAAAACAATCTCAAAAACTTTTCACGCTTTTTTTTCGAAAAACTTTTGTCCCTATCAGTAAGCTCAGCTAATTTCTAGTCTATTGATACCAAGATCAACTCGATATGCCCAGTAGTTCTAAAGTTATTAACCAAAACGTCTTTTTTCTAAAGTCAAAAAATTTGTCTCTTATAGGTTCCGCCTAACTTTTTCCGCAATTCTGTTCTTTTCGACCTAAAAATTATTGATCCGAGCTCAGTAGGCCTACACTTTTCTAGTTCAATGCAAAAGACCTGATCTAAAACGCTTTAGTTGAAAAAATTTGCGAAAAACTATGCTACCTGTACCCCTCCGGATTGATGAATCCACCAAATCAAACACGTTAAGTTCGATTTCTCTGCGACCCGGAAGGCTTTCGGAAAGCGGGTTTTAAAACTTGTAGGTTCACTAGTGGACGTTGTCCGAACAACTATTTTTACTGTTCTAACTCAAAAATTTATTGTGTTTCGTTTTCTCAAAAATCACGCAAATTCGGTTTTTGGATCCAAAACAGTTCCAACCACTTCCGAACTAAACTTAACCGAGTTTATCTAAAATGGTAGTGCAGTTACTATGTAACACACTACTTTAGTGCTTTTTCCGTTTCAAAAAATATCGATATCTCAAAAATCGCGACTTGTGGGGGGATCAAAATATTGCTATTTCGACCCTAAAAACCGGTCTGCTTTCTGTGTTTTTCACCAAAAAAACGATATAGGTGTATTAATATAGGCTATATAAGTAATGATATTATTAATACTATACCCCTCCGGGTTTGTTCAATATCCGAATTAAGGTGCTTAGCTCGGATATTCGCAGTTCGGTGAAGGGTCACTACAGTGCAGCACTGTCGAGCCCCCCACAGATTACTATCTTACTTTTTGTACCAAAAGGGATACAAAGTTTGTTAACGATACCCAACAGTCATTTGTTGTTGTCGTTGAGCCCCTTTTTGATGCTCCTTGTACTGCTTGCCGGATCAGTCTTCTCCCAAGACCCCTCCGGATTGAGCGCAAATCAGCTTACCCTTCCTGATTGAATGCAATTTATCATTAACGTGCTTAAATGCTCAAATAACCCTACAGTACAAGCCTCACAAACGGGCTACAAAATTGATCGTAACAATCCTGACTGATATAAATGCCTGTAACAACAATATATCTATCAACAACAAACGGGAGGGTCGGATCACGTCTTGTCTGGGGGAATGATTTCTACTGATTTTTTTAAACTTTTTTACTGTTTTTGGTTTTTTCGGTTATTTTTTTATGTTTTTTGTTTTTCTTAGGTACTATACTACTTTTTGTTTATATATTTTTAAGTGTTTTTGGTCACAAACCTCTCAGGAAACGACGGGACCGCGAATCCCCCCACCCTTCCTGCTTCGTGAATTTTCGGTCTTAACTAGGTTAAAAAGCTATTCACAGTAATCCGGAAGGCTTCCGCGTTCCGATTTACCCTTCCGCCCCTGCGGCTTAGGCCTATTAAGGGCGTTAATGTGAGCATCCGCTCGGCGCGGAGTGCTCGTTAACGGTTCTGCCGGTCATGATGTTAAAAAAGAATAACACCCAGGAGCGCCATAAAAACATCTATGTAACCTTCGCCCGGAAGATACATATCGACGGAAAATAAAACTAAGTCCTAAGACGACTGGCCAACGTCTAAACAGAGCTTTACATGCTTTTAACCGTCTCTACCAAGCCAGTACTTTCGGTGGTCTTTCTAACATCGGGTCGACAAAAAATGTTACTGCTTTCGGCTTCGGTCAAAACACTCAAATTAAATTAATTTCATGCAGAAGTAGTGAGCTAATGGCTGGGTCTCAGCATCCCCAGACCACGAGATTACTCCTAAAAACAGGGCTACTAATATTTATTGAATTATTATTGTTTTTGTTCAGTAGTTAAAAACCATCATCTCCATCGAAGATGGATCAACCCTTTCCCCCAACTCCTAGCTTCTCATCCTTGCAAAATGAATTCAGATGTTAATTAAATTCAATTCAGGACATGACAGGCAAGCTAAAAGTTTATATAAGTTAATAAAAGTTCCAGTCCCGAGACCCCACCGGATTCTTGAATCCGGGGAAATAAGGCTCTTATTCTCCTTCCGGAAGGCTGGTTTTCCACCCTTCGCCGTTGTTCGCAACGGCCTTGCAATTATTGTAGCGACACAATAGTTGCAACTCGGAGCGGTCTCTACTACTTCTGTAATTCGTCGTTGTTTTTCAAGCACAATTCTCGTTGGTCACGCTATCGCAACTAATGTTGTTGTGTTTTTCTTCCGGTTTTCTGCCAAATTGGCCGTTTCTGACTTTTCTCAGAAATATGACGTCATACTTCGAATTTTTAAAATTTCAAAATACCAGAATATCTTGACCTTCACCGTTTGACTAATCGTCCCAATAACGTCGTTAATTGCTTAAAACCGTCAATTCGGAAGGTTCACTGTTAAAAACTCGAATATGCTGAATCTGCATTTTAGTCCATTCTGGTCGAATGTCACACCAGCTTGTTCACTTACCGTAACTAAACGGAAGGGCCCTTTTTGTAATTTAGTTTTTTTAAGAGATTGATTTGAATCTTGAAAATATAAATCTTTTATTTAAGCCGCGAAAACTTAGTTTTAATCAAGTAAGTTTTTTTTGGATTTTTTCCAGCAACCTTTTGGGAATCCGCTAAAAAGATTTAAAATGTTTGAATTTTTGTAAACAATTTTTGTGTTTTCCTAGTCAGGTCTACAAAAACTGTTGTCCAGTTAGCTTATTTTACTATATTTGTCGATTATTCCTATATTGTAGTTTTTCGTTCAAATCCTTTTATCACATCTAGCAGAAAAAGCACAATTCTCGGCTTTTAGCCTAATTGTTGTGATAAACTTATTAAATAGATTTGTTATGTTTGATGTTTGTGCCTGTATGTGGAGCGCCCTCTGAGGGATTTTAGAGACAAGTCTGTCAAATGGCTTTCTGTGGGGAGGTGGGGAACTGGAACTGGCTTGAGAAGTCTGGTGGTGCGCCGCTGAACCTACTGAGCTCGGGTGAGATTGTTCCTTGTTTTTGATTTTTAACCTTTATGCTGCCTTTCAACCTTTTAACATTTTAAATTAATTTAGTTGTCTTTTTTTTATTTGCTGACTTGTATAATTCCCACTAACCGCTTATCATGGGTTAGTTCAGTCCCCTAAAGTCCAGTCAAAATACTTTTTTTTAACCTTTATGCTGCGTCAAGATGAGGAAAAACAACAAAGAGTGTACAAGCAAAGATTGCTTAAAACCTTCAGGACTGATAAATTGGATTAGATGTGATTGTTGTTCTAGTTGGTATCATATCAGTTGTGTAAATATTTCTCTTAGCGACTCTAAGAAAACCCAATGGTTTCAGTGTACTTTATGCGTTGATGTAAAATCTGTTAATAAAGCAACAATAGGTAATGATTTAGTGCTAGACAATTATGTTAATACAGCCATCTCAAATGTCCGAGTACTCAAGAGAGTACCAAAAGACTCGCGTGTTCCCTTGGCGGAAAGTCTGTCGGACAAAATAAATGACATCGTCTACAATGTAGAAGATGTTACAAAATGGCTAATTTTTTTAACGTCGTTCTTGTTTTTTTTGGAGCAACCGAAAAGAAGTGGACGCAAACAGACCACAAGCATGAGCTCTTTGATAAATAAAAAAATTCGAGCGAATGACGTGTCACTTCCAAAACCCCATCCCAAAGTTTCAAGCCCGCCTCTGAGTGACCTCGAGCAGAGAATAAAGTTAATAAGTAGTAAGCTCGATGAAGGAAATGTAAAGGGAGGAATGAGTGTAACATTCGTCTACTGCAGTCACACATGAGGCTTAAGAAAAATAGGCCCTATAACCACTGGCTCAAGGGTCAGGGACACTATCTCTTGTGTTTTTCTACCTCAAGAACGGTCGGAGCCAGTTCGGTTCGTTTGTGACATGAGACTACGACCCGTTACAGCTTAAAGGCTACTACTAAAATATCCCCCCACTCTAGAATTAGAAACGTCCCCATACTTAGGTCTCTAGATACCCAAAATACATGAACGCCGTTAAAAACCGGGTTGGAACAATCCGTTAAGTTGCTTTTTTATTAGACAGTGGAACTTTGATCCATTTCAGATGGATCAACCTAAAACTCGCCTTACCTCAACATAACAATCATAAAACACACTCTAGGAATTTAAATTTGTACTCACATAGTAGCACGCTCAAGAAGTGGGAAATAATCCAGTCGGTAATTAACTCAAGAATTAAATAAAGTAACTAAAATGAGTTTAACGTTAGTCAGTTTTAATAATAAGAACAAGTTTTTTCTCTAGACTGTAAGTTCTCGTGAACCATTGGGACACTCTAGCTGTCCACCTTTCCACCGAAGGTTCACTCTGGTCCAGTTAATAATAGTACTCCAGTCACAACAATCCAGTTCGTGGGAATGCTCTCGTCTCTGTTTCAGATGGGACAGCTCTACTCTTGTTCTATTGTGACAGAAATTGCGAATAGCAATTTCCCACTGTTTTATTTTACAACTTTCCCGCGCGTGTGACTCAATCGTTCTGAAATTGTTCTAACTTCTTTTTCTGATTTTCAGTTCTCGCGAGAAAATCGTGCATGACAGGTTCCATTCGAAATTTTGAAAAATTAAATTTCACTCCAAAATCAAGTGTTTTTTTGCTCCTCTCAAGGTCAAACTTCCAAATATGACCGACTGGCACATACTCCCCGGACTCGAGATCGATGTCCTCATCGCGCGCTGTCTTCTGCCAGTGAGTCCCAGAAAAACCGAGTGTTGCTCAAGATACAGTGCCAGTGGTCATTTACAGAAGTTTGCAGCAGATTTAAGCTTATCTACACCCCAAAATTCACAGCCATTTAAAATTTTCACACTATTGCTAAACAGCAACCAAAATCTGCATACACCTGCACCCTTGAATTTTCGCTTTTCAAGCCAATCATTTTAAAATCTCTTTTGTCCTATTCAATCAGGAAATTGTCATGCAGCATTTCGATTTATATAATAAATATAGTATATTAGTAACAATATTTGCTTTGTTAAAATTTCTTTTTCGTGAATCCAAGTTTCACTCGGATCCACGCTCAAGCCCCCCTTCCCTCTCAAGACTCAAGATCCATCCGATTTGCCCATTCATCTCGTACTCTTCGCCTTGGAGGTACTGCATCCTGAAGTGCTAGATGCGGCAAACTGTCTCAACAGTTCCTCTTCATCATCGGAACTAATCACAATCTCCTCCCAAGCCTTCAGCTGTTCATTGGATCGCATCCATTCTCTCTGCTCCTGCAACCTCTTTGCTTGGTTGGGTAGTGCCTTCACCCTAGCTTCTCGGTTCAAGCAAAAGGAGTTGTGCAGGCTCAAGCTCACGTTCTTCGCCAGGTCTTCCTCTAGTATCGACTCCCTCGCTTTGGTATTGTCTCTAGACATCTTACCCACTCTTTTCCATCCTGTCGTGATCGCATTACGATGGGTTAGCAGGGGTCTCTTGAAAGCTTCCGGCCCAATCTCGGCCTGGAACTGTCGATACTCTTTTTGATGTTTTCTCATGTGATCTTTCGTTGTCATGTACAACCAAGACGTCAGTGTCGCCCGAAACCATGGAAAGTACCTCAAACGGCTCCAGACATGTCTGACTTCCGTTGGTATGGCGAATACCTTGCACGCAGTCTCAAACAACTCGAGTCTCCTATTGTAGTCTATCGCGTATATTGACTCAGCCGTTGGCGTCCCCGCTTCCCGATATTTCGTTATATTCTCTTCTATCCATCTCAGAGCCAACATCGTACTCACTACTAAGATCGTCACCTTCTGTCGGTGATCCGGTAGTCCGATCGACCGGATTTCTTCCATATCCCACACCAGGCAAAGGTTCTTGTGATCTGGATACCACAACGTTTGCGCTAAACAGTGGCATGGGCATTCTCCATGGGTGATTTCAATGCTCCTGAGGTTACGCTCCCCCGAGTCTTCCAAGAGAGGCTCAAGCTCCATCATTTTCTCATGCATCGTGTCGTTATCTTCCAGGTTTGGAGCACTTCCCACAGGTTTTCCGATCACGTTTTGTCTCTCGTGATCGCTTGTGTTCTCTCTCTCCAACTTCAAAAGTTCTTCTCCCCAGATTTCACTCAAGTCATCTCTCAATTCTTTTGGTACTGTCCCTCTGATTTTTCTCAACAACTTGTGCGAGTGATGCGATATCCGAGCCAACCTCACGCACTTGGGCACTGAGAAGGCCTTGTCCACCAGTACTCTCTGGCTGGATGCTTCCACCATCACCATGTGCAGTGGGTAGTGACTTCCGCACAAGTTGGCCATCATTGACCCTATCAGCGATTTCGCGTTCAATGGCAAGCCATAAGCTTCGCTCATGGGAAATCCCATTTCCGCCTCGAGACCAACCTTCCAGCTCCGGATGTGTTTTTGAGTCACCTGCAACACCCCGGGCCATGATTCTACGCTCAACGCCGTCACTAAATGATGTTCAGATTCTAGTCTTTCCAGTGACTGCAGACTACACATTCTCGAGAAGAATCCGAGAGCTGTCGCTATATTCACCGTGGTTCTCGCGTAACACTCCGCTACTATTTGCACTTCACTTTTCTCCCTTTCTGTTATGTCTTCGAACCAAGTGACCAGGTCTTCTTTTTGAAATGACAGTATTCTAACGCATGACCGTCCATCGCAGGTGTGCTCTCCGTTTCCACACGTCGAATCCAGACAGCTACCTGGCTCCAATTTCTTTGCTGACCCGGGATTACTAGTCTTTTCGCCTGGCTCTTGCATCTGAGGTGAAATTAGCTTATGCAGCACACTCAACTTTGCCATATCTTCATCTTCCGTTGGTGCTAACCTCACTCGCTCGGTGGTTTCTTCGATCAGACTCGCGTGGGGATGTGGACACCAGGAGGGTCTTAATAGTTTCCATACCACTCCCAAGTTCGTGGTTAACAAGCCATTTCCATCGCCCATGTTCACTTCAACTCTCTTGTTTGAATGCGGTATGCTCACCACCTCTGGTGTTTTCTCAAGAATCAGGCCCAGGCTCGGCCCCTCTTTTTCCACCGCGTCTATTTCCATTATTCTTTCTGTCCAAAACTTCAGTAGCTCCACTACCTCATGGTTCCTGTGGGCGCCTCCAGCTTCCGAGTCTAAGAAGGGGTTGTAGGCCATTCCCATCACTCCAGACACATATTGGTATTCCCCCTTCTCGCTGATTCTCGAGTACTGCTCTGACGAGGCCAGGTTACGGTGAACATCATGTTCTTCTTCGAACTTCTTATTATAAAACCTCCGTACCTCGTCTAGCTTCCTATGGTTCTCTAGGGATAGTCTGGAACCCTCTTCCTTTTCTATTCCTGTGCTCTGATACACGTTCAAGATGACCGTTGAGACTCTTTTTTCCATGGTTTTGCTTGCGCTTGCTCTCTGTTGGCATGCCAGGATGGTGCTATCAGACATCATCGACATTATCCATCTCAAGAAACACGTGGCATCCTTTCTTCTGGCCAGGCTCAAGCCTGAGTTGTCCCTGGCTACGTGTTGCATCAGTGCTTGATACATCTCCAGCTTCTTGCTTCCCAACTTCAGCCTGTCATATGAGGTCAGTGTTTCCAACTCTATCCCCACCAGACTCCAGGTGAACATTAATTGTCCTGCAGTTCTAACGAAGGGATTCGCCATTAATGGTGGTGCTGATGAGGGTGTCCTCATTGCTTCTTCAAAATGATCCTTCAACAAACTCTGCCACGACCTCTTCAGATGATTTGCCATTTCTATTCTGTTAACCTCGGCCTTTTGCTGGGTGGCCCAATTACGTCGCTTGCGAGCTACTCCACTGTCCAACTTCTTCCAGCAGTCCTCCATTTC